CGTTAGCTACGTTAGGTGATTTTGGACTTGGGAGCGCGTCCGGAATGTGATTTGGAGGTCCGTGGTAGAATTAGGCTTGAATTGGCGAAAGTTGGAATTTTGGCGATTTTGATCAATTGTGGAAATTTTTTATATCGGGGTCGGAATGAAATTTCAGAAGTTGGAGTAGGCTCGTAGTATCATTTGTGACGTGTGTGCAAAATTTCAGGTCATTCGGAGGTGATTTAGTAGGTTTCGGCGTCGTTTGCGGAATTTGAAAGTTTAGAAGTTCTTAAGCTTGAATCCGAGAGTGATTTGGTGTTTTGATATTGTTTTGAGCGATTCGAAGGTTCGACTAAGTTTGAATGATGTTATGTGACTTGTTGGTATTATTGGTTGAGGTCCCGAGGGCCTCAGGATGATTTCGGATGGTTATCGGAGAGTTTGGAAATTTGAAAGAGTTGCTGAGGTTGGAACTCAGCTGTCATAACCGCACCTGCGGAGTGGGAGCCGCAGGTGAGATCCCGCAGTAGCGGAGAGGTAGCTGCAGGTGCGGACAAGTGTTGAGATAGGCTGGGTCCGCAGGTGCGTAGGTGAGGTTGCATCTACGAGATCGCAGGTGCGTGGATTGGACTGCAGAAGCGGGTTCTGAGGGCGTAAGTGAGAACCGCACCTGCGATGGATTTTCTACAGGTGCGGCGTTGCAGAAGCGACTGTTGGACCGCAGATGCGGAAGTTCTAGGCAAAAAGTATAAATTGTGGACTTCGCGAATTTTGGGTCATTCTTAACCACTTTTATCCGGTTTTAGAGCTTTTGGGAGTAATTTGAAGAGGGATTCAAGGGGGTTTTCATTGAGGTAAGTTATTTGAGCCCTAATACTCGTGTTTATGGTAATTTCCTGTTATTTAATCATGCAATTAGTGGAGATTAAGGGTGAAAATGAGGGGTTAGGGTTTGGAATTTTTGGAGAGTTTGATTGAGAATTTAAGGGGTCAAATGGAGTCGGATTTTGATAATTTTTGTATGTACGGACTCGTGAGTGAAAGGGCTTTCTAGTTTTGTAACTTTTGTCGGATTTCGAGACGTGGGACCGGGAGCTGGGTTTGAGAGGATTTCAAGATTTGTGCCTAATTTGATGGTTTTTCTTGTGGAATTCATTCCATTAGCGCATTTTGATGGTATTGTTCTGGTTGTGAATAGATTCGAAGCGATTGGAGGACGAGTCGAGGGGCAAGAGCATCGCGGAGTAGAGATTTGACCGGTTTGAGGCAAGTAACGATTGTAAATCTAGACTTGAGGGTATGAAACCCGAATTTCATATCGTTTTACTATTTTGAGGTGACGTACATGCTAGGTGACAGGCGTGTGGGTTGCACCGTTGGGGACTGTGACTTGGCCCATCCCGTAGCAACTGTAAAGTTGCGTATTTGGTTGAAACTATATGATACTTATGTGTTTTAGAAAGAGTTTCTATAAATTGGGCCGAATGCCATGTTTAGGCTTTGTGCCAGAGCTGTTTGGACCCTGAGGGGCCTTTTTCTTACTATTCTTTCACTGTTTTTGATTGAAAATCTATACTCAGTCATGTTATACTTATTGATTTCATAACTCAATCTTTATTACTCTATTTTGATGCATATAAATGTTGTTTTGGGCTGAGTACCCTGTTTTTACTGAGAGCCCGAGTGGCTTGAGAGGTTTATGACTGATTGAGGTCGAGGGCCTGATTTGTGAGGATATTTATGGGATCGATCTGCACGTCGCATCATGTTTCTACTGATTCATGATTGAGTGAGGCTGAGGGCCTGATTGATTTATGCCACGAGGTGGCTTGTTATAGTCTTTGGGCTGAAGGAGCCCCTCCGGATTCTGCACACCCCTAGTGAGCGCGGGTACCCTAAGTGATATTTTGCCCGAGGGGCTATATATGAGTGATGTTTTGCCCGAGGGGCTGTATATGAGTGATGTTTTGCCCAAGGGGTTGTATACGAGTGATGGTGAGGTATGCCCGAGGGGCTATATACGAGTGACTGTGAGGTTGCCCAAGGGGGTGTATATGAGTGATGTTTTGCCCGAGTGGATGCTTGTGAGTGATGTATTGCTCGAGGGGCTTTTTATGTTTTCATCATTTTTGCTCACTGTTGCACTGAGCCTCTGTTTGAGAACTGTTGAAAAATATCTTCAAATGATTTTACTGAAACTGAGTTTAAACGGAATGATTTGATTCAAACTCTACTTTTAAAAGCCTGCTGTACTTTTACTGAGATTTCATGATATGAACTTATGTGCTTTATTGCTCGTCACTGCTTCTCAGCCTTTATTTACTTTGGCTACTTACTGAGTTGGCGTACTCACTGTACTCCCTGCACCTTATGTGCAGATCCAGGTATTTCTGGACCCGGTAGCGGGTGTTGATTATTCAGTTGCAGATCCATCAGAGTTAGCAAGGTAGTTGTCTGGCGATCGCAGCCCTACTTTTCTCCATCTTCATCTTCCCTTATTGTTTTCAGTTATTTCCAGACTATGTTAGGCTCGATATTATCAGACGGTTGTAGCAGATGCTCATGACTAGTGACACCCGATGTCGGGCTTTCTTTTCTGCACTTTTTTTTATTTACACTCCTTATGAAGGTTTTATATTAAATAGCTTTAGGAATTATCTTGAAAATGAAAATCTCGTTTGTTTTGGTAATGTGTCGGCTTGCCTAGTACTACGATAGACGTCATCACGACAGGGTTGGTTTTTGGATCGTGACAAGAACATTCTCCTACATTTTTTCGATTTAGCTTTATTATTGTTTGTCAAAATTTTATCAAGAGATCCTTTTTGAGATTTTATCAATTTTTCAACTTTTCTTTTCTTTTGAAGTTTTGAATAAATGGAATCATATTTTCTTGTTGACATATTTAAATTCTAAAAAAAAAATTAAACAATATGTATGGAGTAAAATTAATAAAATACCAAATACCAAATAAAATAATACTGGAAAGTTAGAAAGATATTACCCAATCACTGATTCAAGAAGTTTGAAGAATGAAGACTTTGATTTCAAAATATCAAGTTGTTGCTTGTCTACTTCAAAATTCTTGCTCTAAAGCTTGAAAACTGTACTATATTTTTATAGAGTAATAGAAGTATAGCACTATTGGAAGCTTAAAAATATTATTGAACATTTGAACTAATAAAATTTTGGAGAAAGAAGATGAATAATGAAATTTTGGAGAAAGAGAGAAATCATGAAGAAAGAACTCAAGAAGGTGAGCAAGAATAAAGAGAATGGAAGAAGTTATGTAGGTTCTGCAATATGAAGAGTAAGATTGAAATGTTGGGAAAGAAGAGCAAAAGGTGGAATTGTCAAATCAAATCAAATTGAAAACTATTCATCTATCATTTTTAATAAGTCAAATCTTTACTTTATTAGGTTTTCTTTCCTTTTATATGAAAAGTACAAAAGTACTACATATATTTTTTTAAATACCTATAAACCTTAAAATATATATTACTTCTAAAAAATGGGGGGCCCAAAGGCACAAGCCTTATCCACTATGGTGTTAGTGCCGACCTTGGATGTAACTTCTTGTATATAAATATAAGTTTGAGGGATCGTCTAGGTATTTGGCCTTATTTACTTCATATAATTAAGATTTGTAATCAAATTAATATAGGAATAGATTTTCCGTTTCTAGTATTAATAAGTTTCATATTATTATAAATAGGGGTATTGCTAGTTTATTTTAATTGCGTGAAGAATAGTGGAGACATGTGGTGGATAAATAAAGTACTATAGAGATATTTTAGTGATTTATAATAAAATATTTTCCTTCAAGTTGGTATCAGAGCTTCTGCTATCTTGGGAGAGAATCAAGTAACTTCTGTTGCCGGCCGGCGGCGCTAGCCAAAGTGTGCCACATTTCTGGCCATTGAGTATGTTGGCAAATATCGGGCCAATGATATATGCATGAAAAACAATCATGCTGAGAAGGATTGAATAAAAAGATTTTGCAAACTTAAAGGGATACAAGCAAATATGGCACAATAGAAGAGATTCTTTTCTAAAAATTAGAGAAGCGGTCAAGAAAAAAAACAAAAAAGAATAGGTGTCGGTGTAAAAGTGCATCAACAGGAGTTGAAGACATTTGCTTCAACAAAATTAAGTGTTGGTGACAAATTGCATCAATAGGAGTTGGAGACAGGTGCTTCAACAAATCAACAAATTTGGGTGTTGGTCAAAGTGTATCAATAGAAATTGAAGACAAATGCTTCAACAAAATTAAATATTGGTGACAAAGTGTATCAACACGAGTTGAAGATAGGTGCTTCAACAAAATTGGATGTTGGTAACAAAGTGCATCAACGGGAGTTGAACACCGATGCTTCAACAATATTAGGTATTGGTGACAAAGTGCCTCAGCGAGGGTTTGAGACAAGTGCTTCAATAAAAGTAGAAGTTGGGAGATGTCCTCCAACACAATTACAACAACAACAACAACAACAACAACGACAACAACAACAACGACAACAACAACAACAAAAATTGCGTATACAACTTTGAATTACGGATAGAAGACTAATTCAAAGTTGTACCAAAATTATTTAGTGGTATTTGTAAGTTTATATAATTCATGTTGAACGAAGATTTATAGTCAAGTTAATATAGGAATATGTTATATTGTTTCTACTAAAAATAAATTTCGTGCTATTATAACTAGGAATATTGCTAGCTTATTTTAAGTGTGTGAGAATAACGGAGACATGTGAAGAATAAATAAAGTATTGTAGAGATCTACTCCGAGACAATCAAGGAAGTATGGGCGAAGATAAGGTTAGCCCTTGTGACAAACATTAATAAAACATTTTCCTTCACATTTATTGGAAATAAATATTATATAAATCAAGGAGGATTAAAACATCTAAAACTTTGACTAAACCAGCTTTGACGAGAAAAAAAATATAGGGACTAATGTGTCAATTTCACTGTTGCAACATAGCAAGACTTTTCTTTTTCCTTTCTAAATAAGTCCACTGGAAAAAGATTAATTAAATCTCTACTGCTATTAGCAATTTATTTCAATTGTTAAGGAAAACATGGGACAAGTGCAGAGCGAAGCCATTGACAACCGATCTCTAAGTGATTTATCAAAGGCATCGAAAGCCACCTCTGCTGATGAATCTCCGCCGCAATCTCTTGATTCTTTGATTGCTGGTAACATCTCTATTTTCTGCTTTAAACCTGTTTATTTCTTCTGTTTTTTGCTTTTTGATAAAAAATTTATTCCTTTTTTCAAGAATCCAAAATCCAAGTTTAGTCTTTATTAGTAGCTGCACTACAAGGGGTTTTCAAGTTATTAACTTTTTTTCTTCTAATGGGGTTCGAGAAGAGCTGAGATGTGTAGTGAAGGTAGTAACTAGGGGTGGCAAACTCGCGGGTAGGGTGGAATATGGACGGGTCGATAAACGGGTAATGCAAAAATGGATAAATTATCCGACCCGACTATATTTAATACGAATAGAAAATGGTTTAACTGGCGGATAATATGGATATCCATATTATCCATGGCTTCTTGAATATGATCACTTTGGGGGAATTCCTAGTCTCCCAAACTTGAGGAACCCCCAATTTGACTCTTTACAAATGTAAAAGTTAAACTCATTATTTATCCATTGGTTATCCATTTTTTAAGTAGATAACACAGTTCTTATCCATTTTTGACCCGTTTTTAAGAAGTTCATTATCCAACCCATTTTTAGTGGATAATATGGATGGGTAACTGTTTTCTTTTATCCATTTTGCCACCACTAGTAGTAACCAAATAATCAAGAGATTGCACCTGTTGCTTGTGGCTCAACCTTTATATGTGTATGTTATTAATAACCGCAATAACTTCACCTCACTAACAAACTAGTTGAGGTCGACTATATGAATCCTCTACATCCATTAAGTTCTATTGGGTTCACTTCTCCACAACTCAATAATTTGTAATTAGGGATCTAAAATTAGAGATTCTTTATATATCTGACCTTTCACTACGCTATATCTCTAATCAAATTGCCCTTTTGTGAGGGTGATAATAAAGACTAACCCTAATGCCATCTAGTTGGTATTGATACTTTGTATCCATTGACCAATAAAAAATTAAAAAGAAACAGAGAGAAAAGGAAAAGCTCTGTTTCCATATCTATTCTTTGAACTGTATATGTATAGTTTAAATTTGCAAAGACTTGACCGCAAGGGGAGCCTTGGCGCAACAATAAAAGTTACGGCCATTTGACCTTCACGGGTTCAAGCTGTGGAAATAGCCTTTTGTAGAAATGCAAGGTAAGGTTGAGTGCATTAGACCCATAGTGGTCCGACCCTTCCCCAGACCCACGCATAACGGGAGCTTAGTGTATCGGGCTGCCCTTTTTTTTGTGGTCATCATGACAAAGTTTAGAGTAGTACTCTGCACCTACTGACATAACATGTAGATTCATCTATGGTGGTCGGGGAAAGGGAGTAAAGGGGCTGGTTTGTTGCATATGTGGTTTCGTATGTGTCGATACGACAAGATGAAAGTTATATGTGTAATGCGGTTTCAATATTTTGTTTGTGTGAAATGATGCGAGTGCTATTTAAGGGGAAGATAATCTTGTAAAATGCAGTTTTCCTGTTGTCCATTAAGGAATTGACTTTCATTTTTGGCTATCTAATGTATGATTTCTGTGTACTGATACGTAACATTATGGCCAAGTTCAACTAGTTTGGGGTTGAGGCAGAATTGATTGACTATTTGTTGATTGGAAAATTGATAAAGCTTTGATTTCACTTCCCATATGTTTAGCTATCATTGTTTTTTTCATGTATTGTTTTCTCACTGCAGTCTGATTTTGCAACTTCCTCTGTACTTGCTCTATGTCTCCATAAGTGTTTGTCGTTATCCCAAACTAAGAACTTATCATAAATTTTCTTCCTTTCGCCTTATAGAAGCTGCAGCATATGGTGAAGATGGTGAGAATGAGGTTGGTTCAGGCTTTTCGGATCACAATCTTGCTCAATAAAAGTTGAAATTTGTTACTTATCTATGCTCAAGAAACTGAAACTCTATTTTTAGTCCATTGACGAGAAAGCTCGGAAAGCCTTAGAATGCCCTTGCATTGCTCATTTACGGAGTGGCCCCTGTGGCAACCAGTTCTCAGACGCTTTCCTCTGTTTTCTCAAGAGCACAGCTGAAGAAAAGGTAACTGAATTTGTCTGCTCCTTGCTGTTTGTAGAGATATAATCGGTGCATCTAGCTCATCTCTCGTGAAGATATTCGTCACATCTTTTTAATTCAATTTAATTTCAAGGAGCTGATATTCCTCTATGAACCAAGGTTGTTAAGTGCCACATAAGTTGTAACATGGTAAACATAGATCAGCTTATTAAGCTGTAGTTATACCTATTTCTGTGTCTATATTATGAAAGATTAAAATTTTGTGTGCGTTCTTACTTTTTCTAATTTTGAAAAGGGAAAAATTAAGATTATGTGTGGTTTTTCTTTTCTGCTTGGGAGACTTAATGTCTCCTTTCTCCATAGTCTGGAACAAGTTACCAGGGGCAAAGGCACATGGTCATAAGGGTGGTCAATCAACCACCCTTCGTCGAAAAATTACACTATGTATATAGGTAAAATATTACGTTTTAGAGTTATATAACACATATTGAACACCCTTTTTTTGGGAATTTTTTTCACTTCTTTATTGATCACCATTTGTCGAAAAATTACACTGTATATATAGGTAAAATATTACTTTTTAGAGGTATATAACACATATTGAAAACCCTTTGTCGGGAATTTTTTTCACTTCTTTCAAATTTGAACACCCTTTGGGAAATTCCTAGCTTCGCCACTTGCTACTATGAACGACAGAAGACAAGACCAGGCATTATAGATCATTGTTGACCTTAAAAATTGGCCTCCAAAGTTGATGTCCCAAAATTTGCTTGCTTGCCTGTGGTAAATTGACTTTGATGTTACTTGAGGATTACGATCAGAAAGCTTTGTCATCTTCCAGTCATTTATACACAACACTGGAAAAAAAATGCTCAAAATTTGTCTTTTGAGCAGAAAATGGAAATGAAGATGAGTTTGCATTCAGTTCTTTACTTACTCGTTTTGTTCTTTTTCCCTTCTCCATTCTTCTAACATGTGAAAAACCTTCACTTCCGACTGTAGGGCTCTGACTGCATTAGTCCCTTCGTCGCTCTTCAGAGCTGTATCAAGGCGAATCCTAATGCATTTTCTAAGGACATTCTGGAGGACGATGATAATACCAGGAAGCAAGATGAAGTCAAGAAAGAGGAAACACCGAAACAAGAATATAGAATCATCCCTCCCATTTGGTCTGTAGAATCGAAGGGCTCTAAGCGTAAGGCGTAGAAAGTCTCACCTTTTTCTTTGTTCTTTTTTGGTCCTTTCATTCTAGGAAGCTGGAGTAGTATAATACTACTGCACTAAGTATCAGTGTATTGAATAACTTTTCCCTTTGAGATTCATGATCAGACTTCTATTTTTAATTTAATTACGATATAATAAGATTCATCATTTGCTCATGATCAGACTTTTGAAGTTTATTAAGCTGGAATTGTGGAAACTACTAGGCCATAGCTTATTTGGCAAGCAAAAGTTTGGATGGTTTCAGTTCTCTCATGTGATACCAACTTTAACGTTATCAATTGATATTTCATGGAACGTTTCATTCAATGTGTCTCTATTTACATGCACGCGATGTATTAGCAAATGCTTTAGCTTCACATTTGATACTTAAGAGGTTGGCGAGGGTCTACTGGAGACAGCCTATCTGCCTTCTTAAAGGTAGGGGTAAGGTCTGCATACAATCCACCTTCCCCGGACCCACTTGTAGGACTATATACTTGTGGGACTATATTGGGTCTATTGTTGTTGTTATTGTTGGTGAGGTATGCGAAAGGTCCTTAAATTTCACGAAGGATGTACAAATAGTTTGGATGATAAAGGGGAATGTCCTATATATTATTCTTTTGTTAGCTGTCTAATATTTGATGCTAACCGTGGTTAACCGATAAATTTTATGTATAAGATTCATGTCATGTATTTATTGGTTTGGTACACCGGATTTGAGATAACATTTTTCGGGTATTTTAAGGAGAAATTCAAAAATAGTCAGATTTACAAGTGGTCGTTCAAAAATAGTTCAGTTTCAAAAGTAATCAAAATTTAGCCACTTTTCATATAAAGATAAATCTGAGTGAAAACACTGTTCAAACACCGGAAAATACGCAAGTATATTATGCTGGAGTTCCAGCATAACTATACTTGAACTCCAGCATATTATACTGGAGTTCCAGCATAAGTACACTAGAACTCCAGCATAATATACTGGAGTTCCAGCAAAGTATACCGGTCCAGTATAATATGCTGGAAGTTCATACACAAGTGTTCGAAGCTCCAGTATATTATGCTGGAACTTTCCGTGTGTTGGAGTTCCAGCATAATATGCTGGAAGTTCATACAGAAGTGCACCGAACTCCAGTATATTATGTTGGACCGGTCTCTGTTGCAGCAAAATAGTAGCTATTTTTATTGACTTGGTAAACGCTGGCTATTTTTGAATGACCAGTCCGAAAATTGGCTAGACCGTGCTATTTTTACGGTATTTTGTGGTCAACCCTGGGAAATCTATTCTTTTTCCCTTGGAGTGACAAATAATTGTGCAAAAGAAAAACATGTAAAATATTAGTCTTTTGACAGATGCTTGAATTCACAAGCCCCATAAGAAAATATTCTGTCAATACTCCTACTTTGACAGATCTCTGGATTTTGTCCTTTATCAACATATTTTTTAGTAATCTTTAGAAATTATTAACTTGTCAAATATTAATATTGGAGAAGACCACAATAAATAAAGAATGAAATTATTATGTCTAGAGGTAGATCCAAGATTTTAATTCTATGGGTTCAAGATTTAGATTTCAACCACTGAACCCATCACCTTGTTTGATTTATGAGTTCATAGCTCAATTTTTTCAGCAATTTTAATGAATTTTATACTGAAAATCCAGGTCTAGCATAAAAGTTATGTCATAACTAATATGCTGGATTCGCCCATGATTCTGTCAAGATTAACAAATTTGTTCCATCTTCTCGTTTTTCAACAACAATGCTAGAAATTCTTTCTTGTTCAAGGGCCTCCAAATGAAAGAAACTTCCCAATTGGTGTTATGTACCATTGCCTAGACAAATTCAGGATATAGAGTCAATGAGTTTAGAATAAGTAAAAAGATTTTTTTTAAACAATTGTATATATACATATTGAACCAACAAAACCCGCCCTAAATCTGACTCTATTGACTTGTTCTTCATACTCTCCTCTGCGTAACGTGTAGAATCACGCAAAGATAATTTGCTTATTAGTTGAAAAAAAATAATTCATGCAGCTTATGAGTATACTATGTAAGAGCCACATAAATGAAATGATTCACCTTCTTTATACCTTCCTCAATGCCTACAATTTCCCCTATATATACATCAATATATGAACATGTTGCAGCCAAGAAGTTGTAAAACATGGAAATATTGGAAAATAAAAATGTAGAAGAAAACAGCAGTAAGTACAAGGGAAAAGTATGTGTGACAGGTGCATCTGGTTTTCTAGCTTCATGGCTGATCAAACGCCTTCTCTTGTCTGGTTATCATGTCATTGGCACAGTTAGAGATCCAGGTACATGGAACCACTCCTACCCTTACTACTAGACTATGTTACGCGAACGATAAACATACGCAAAAGGGTAGCTCGGTGCACAAAGGACCCCGCATTCACGCGAGGTTCAGGGAAGGGCCATACCCCTAAGGGTATAATGTAGACAATCTACCCTGATGCAAACATTAATGTCTGCTTCCACGGCTCGAATCCGTGACCTATAAGTCACACGGCGATAAACATATGCAAATAGAGTGTATTTTCTATGGATTCAACTAAACTTTAAGTTGTAGACACAAACATTATATATAAAGAACATTAAAATTTCAACAAATATTAAATTCTGAACGAATAATTTTAAAAGTGCAATGAGTTCAGTGCTAAGAACATTAATGTTGGACTCATCAGGCTTAAATCTTGGATCCGTTTCTGAAAGATAAAGGTGCAAGTACTTCTTCCAAATTCTTCAAAATACACTAAATATTAGAAAAGGCAAGATCTCTCCATACCGGATATATATGTACCCGTAAAGGAATCTATGTAACAATAGCTACTAGTAACGGAGATTTATCCACTCAAATCTGTTAGAAGGCATTGAAGTTTTTATGCCAAAATCAGGGAACCAGAAGAAAGTAGGTCATCTGTGGAAGCTGCAAGGAGCGAAAGAGAGACTTCGTCTGGTGAAAGCTAACCTTACTGATGAAGGCAGCTTTGATGATGCTATTATGGGCTGTGAAGGTGTTTTTCATACTGCCTCACCTGTCTTGGGAAAGCCTACTTATGATCTTACGGTATCCAAAATATTCTGTTCGTTTCATTTTATATGACAATATTTGATTGAACGCACTTTTGTAAGTCTAAACATTTCAAAACTTCACAAAATGAAAAAGAGTACCATATAAATCGGAGAAGGGAAATCACCTTAAGTGACTAAATGTGCATGCTGCAGGCTGAAATCCTGAAACCTGCAATAGATGGTACCTTAAATGTGCTAAGATCCTGTAAGAAAAATCCAAGTCTGAAACGTGTGGTTTTGACCTCATCTTCTTCAACAGCAAGGGTAAGAGATGACATTGACCCTAACATACCCTTGGATGAATCATCTTGGAGCTCTGTCGAACTCTGCAAAAAATTTGAGGTAAATACATCTATTCTGTGGTTAATATTTCCTTTTTACTGTACTTGTGTCCGTTCCATTTTATACGATGATATACCTAAGCACGAAGTAAAATATTAATTTGACTTCAATATAAAGGAAAATATTAAAGTACTTGTTGAAAAGATAGTTTGATAGAGAAAATATCACATTAAACATTCAAATTTAAAAAAAAAAATAAAAAATCAAAACCGTGGTGTCCGAACCAGCTTACGCAGACATCAACTAATTCCACGAAGTACAGACTACCTCTCACCAACACAGACTCTGTCCACCAACACTAACTTGAATTTGATTTCTTGAAAGTTGTGAAAGTTTTAGAAGTCAAACATTTTGACACGACCCAAAGTTTAAAAAAAAAAAACAAGAAGATGTATCATATAAATTCAGATGGTGAGTATACATATAATAATTTCATCATTTCTCTGTGGATGCAAGATTTGGTATGTGCTATCAAAGACACTAGCTGAGAAGGCTGCTTGGGAATTCTGTGAACAAAACAGCATTCATCTTGTGACACTACTCCCCTCTTTCATCATTGGGCCAAGTTTGCCTCCCGAGTTATGTTCAACAGCAGATGATGTCCTTGGTTTGCTTAAAGGAAAAACAGATAAGTTTGACTGGCATGGAAGAATGGGGTATGTTCACATAGATGATGTTGCTATCTCCCATATACTTGTCTATGAGCATCCAGATGCTCATGGGAGGTACCTTTGCAGCTCAAAGGTTCTTGACAACAATCAACTTGTCTCAATTCTATCGGAGCGCTACCCGTCTTTGCCTATTCCCAAAAGGTTAGTATAATCTCAAGAAGAGGCAAATCGATTATATAAGTAGTGGATGTATGTGCACTTATATATACACAAAGGCTTATAACTTAGTAGCTATGTTGCTCGGATCTCCCAAAAATGAGTGATTTTTGGAGGATTTGACACACATCTAACGACATTTTTAAAGGATCCAAGCAACATAACTTAGTAGTACTAGATAAGTGAGTTCAATTCTCAGTATCTCCTTTCTCCTTATTCCTTCCCCCGTCTCCCTATTAAATAGCAACAATATAAACAAAAACTACACATACACAGTAGCAAATATTAGCAAGAAACATTAACTCACATACAAGAAGAGTTAAGATAATAAGTTGATAACGCTTCCAGCTTACATGCCACTACATATATTTATACAAAAAATGTGAAAAGAGTAAAATATGCATGATATGCATGAATGTCAGTATATGAAGATGTGCATATGCCTATTTAAATCATGGATTCGCCTCTTTCCTAGAAAGATCTATAGTTCTACATACCACATCCATTATTTCTACATAAAACAGATACTCCTAATAGAAAGAAAGGTCATAGGAGTACCTTATTTAAAATTTAAAAAAAAAAAAAAATAGTAGGAGTACTATTTTGATGGAGATTCAAATTAACTGCTATTTCAGGTTTAAGGAACTTGATCGACCTCACTACGAATTCAACACCTTGAAGCTGGAGAACTTAGGAATGAAGTTCAAGTCCATTGAAGAGATGTTTGATGATTGTATTGCATTCTTCAAAGACAAAGGCCTTATTTCTTCCATCTAAGAGACAGCATTTCTGCATAAAAGCTCTCTACTGTATGACCCTTTGGATGTTTTGTTTTTCTACTTATGTGTTGACCCTTAGTTATTTATACCAATGGTTACCTCATCTATGTATTAGTAAATGGAAACTTGCTGTTACATGGTAGCACATGCCCCGATTATGTGATTCAAGGCATCGTTTGTGTGTGAATCCGTAGCATTTTCAAACATTGATACAGCATTTCTAGCAAACCACAATAGTAGATTATCAGCACAAAGGAAACAAAAATAGAGAAAAGAGGGACTTACCTAATAATAAAAGACAGGTAATTTTCATCTGGATCTGGTGATCCAAAAAGCAACCAGAGGTTGATATCCAATGAATTAGCAGTCAAATTCAGTGCCCTTTGTACCTTCCAATTCCACCTAAACTAACCAACAATACTCATTATCACATTGTTACATACATACAATCGGAAGAAAGTGGTTCAAAACAGCTTAAGAAAGAAGTAAAAACAAAATTTCACTAAATCAAAAAACTCAAAAATTTCCAATATCATCTTGAGAAGTCCCTGAAATCACAAGTATTAAAGGATTAGCATTTTTTAGAAAGAGACACACTACATACAGACTCATTTACCAAAAACAGTTAACAGATCCTAAGTGTCGGTGAAAATGCAGATGATATACAAACACGATCAAAAAATACTCCCAACATCTCATTTTATGTGGCGCACTTTCTTTTTTAGAGGGTGTTTGGCTAAGCTTATAAGCTGGTCAAACTGGCTTATAAGCACATTTTGACTTATCTATGCGTTTGGTAAACATCCAAAGTGCTTATAAGTCAAGTGCTTATAACCTAAAATTAGTCATAAGTCATAAGTTGGTTTCAGCTTACAAGCACTTCTAATTTGACTAACGCTTTTACTAGTTTATCCTTAATACTCACTCAGTTCCAGTTTATGTGAACCTATTTCCTTTTTGGTCCGTTCCATAAAAGAACGACCCCTTTCTAAATTTGGAAACAATTTAGCTTAAAAATACAATTCTACCCTTAATGAGAAGCTTTTATAACCACACCAATACTCTGGACCCCTTTTTGACTTGTTTAGGACCACAAATTCCAAAAGTCTTCATCTTTTTCTTAAACTCCGTGCCCAGCCAAACATGTTCACATAAATTGGAACGGAGGGAGTAATATTTTTTAATTCACAAAATATTTTTCCCAAAATAAATTTCCTAACTTTCTCTTCATTCCATATTAGTTGTTCATCCTTTCCTTTACAAAGAAACTTTTTAATTTATAATCTTTTGTAAAGTTTGTAAGAGTATTTTAGTCATTTTAACAAAATAATAGCTTATCAGCACATTTCTACCAAACACATAACTGATTATTATCAATTTCAGCACGTCTATCCAAACACGTAAATGCTTATATATCAAATCAGTTTCAGCAGTTAAAAATGTTTTTCGGCACTTCAAACTTATCAGCTAATTACAATCAGTTAATCCAAACGGGCACTTAGTCTGTCCCAAAATAAATAACAAATTTCTAAATTTAGAAACATTTTAACTTTAAACTTTTCATTTTACAGTTAATGAGATTATTTATAGTCGCACAAATGCCTATGGCTTGTTTTAGACCACGAGTTTCAAAAGTTTATTTTCTTTGTTAAACTTTGCGCTCATTCAAACAACATGACATGAATTGGGACCGAGGGAGTAATTTACACGGATAGAAAGAGGAACATACTTTGGCATTGTTGTTAGAACTAGAACTATACTCCTGAATGAGCAAAATATGAATTAAGGAAGAGAGCGCAAATTTTGAAGGCATTTCGATGGGACGCCACGCGATCAGCAACTGACTTCTCATTCCTCAAGAGAGATTCCACATTAGGGAGCAAACACTGAGAGTTTCACTAAAGGTCGAAATAAAACTGCTGCTTGATCACCAAGATTTAAAAAAAAAAAAAAAAAAAAAAAAAAAAATTAGATAACCCCATTTGAGAAACTTTAAAAAAATGAAAATTTTACAGAAAGTTGGGGTAAAGGGAAGAAAGAAAGAAAATTTGTGAGCAAAAAAGCCATTCGGGAAAAAAAAATGAAAACTTGGATAACCCATTTAGGGGAAAAGTGAAAAAAAGAATGAATATTTCTAAAGTTTTAGGCAACCCCATTTTAATTTTTTCTTTTAGAAAGAGCTGACCTTTGCCAAATTCTTCAATTTGAGAAGGTCGTAGAGTGGAGAGTGAAGTGGGATTTTGAACTGAGAGGGCGTCGCTATCATAGGAGTCTCGTATATCGCAGTTGACAAAAGCGCCGTACATACGTCGTAATTATGGATATATCTCGCAACTAGCGCGTTTAGCTCCGGTTGTAAAACCAGATATATAACTTTTCCCTCTTAATTTATCTCCGCCCTTTATCCCTCAATTGAACATTTTAAATACCTATTTCGATTTATCAATCTATCTATGTTTATTTCTTTTTAATATTATGATACTTTTTTCTCTTTTAATCTATATTATAATCTCTGTTTTAAAAGGCAGAATTGGGACTCGCCCGGGGCTCGCCTTGGGGCGGAGCACTCGTAAAACGCCCCTGGGCTTATGTGTGGGGCTTAGTTCCGTGAGACTTACGTTTCGGCTGTCGGGGCATACGCCTCGGACACGCCCAACGCCCAGCGTCCTGGGCTCGCCTAAGAGAACTTTATGTAATTGTGTGTAACTAACCTTGTAAATTCTCAAATTTTCTTAAATCGTTGACTTTTTTTTTTTTGGTAACTAACCTTTTTGTATTAATCACCTTTGATAACTTTACAAAATCATAGCTAATCAACACAATTATCTATCTCAACTCTATCTATCTTTCCTCAGTACTTCTATATACAAGAATTTCACAACTGAAACAAAAAAACCTAAACACCTAAAACATAAATCTCTGTAGAAACTCTTTTACTCTAGGACATGCTCTAACATAACAAATATAGACAATTTCCCATACAATTATTTCCCAACTTCTAGACTTCTTTTCAAACACTCTATGGTTCCTTTCCATCCATATAGCATATATACATTTTGCATACACCAGTTTGAAAATTTGAGCTTGCTGTGATTTCCCTTTAGCACTTTTGATAGCCCAGTCAATATGTTGGTTCCATTCTTCTGTTGTTTGCTTCCATTTTAACCATTTCTGCAGTCTCCTCCATATAGCTTTAGCAAAGTCACATTCAACAAACAAATGTTCTCTTGTTTCCAGTTCTGCCTGACATAATGAGCAAGTGGTGTCCACTGTCATACACATCTCATTAGTCTATCTGTTGTTGCCAATCTTCCCTGTAAATGTAACCACATTATAAAACTTGCTTTGGGTCTAGCATCATTTTTGAACATAAGACTCTTCCAAATTACTGGCCTCATTTCAGGAAGCAGCTTATAATAGATAGTGTTTGTCAAGCTTCTTGTGGTCCTGTTTCCAGGTACCAAATGCAGCTTGTTCTTTGATTCCAATATCTTCCTAGTAATCCAACTTGCTTGTGCTGGACTTATTGTTTCCATCAGTGGCTTTCCTTTGATATAATAAGCATGAATCCATCTAATCCACATCTTGTCTTGTTTATGAACTACATCCCAGCATGTCTTGATTTGAGAAGCTTGGTTCCATAACTTTATGTTGATGATGCCTATTCCTCCCATAGATTTAGGCATACATACTCTATCCCAAGCTACTGGAGCTTTCTTAGTAATTGTATTACTACCTGACCATACATAACTTCTATAATAAGCATCTATAGTCTTCAATACCTTCGAAGGAATAGGGAACAGTTGAGCGCGATATGCTTGCATACCAAACAGAACTGATTTAGCTAATTGAGTTCTCCCTGCATAGGATTGTTTCTTTGTTGTCCATGAAGTGATTCTGGCTGTAATCTTCTCTATTAGAGGCTGTCATTGCAATAGAGAAATCTTCTTTGTAGATAAAGGCACTCCCAAGTATTTAAAAGGTAGGTTCCCATGTACAAACCCCAAATGCTTCAGTATACTATCCTGCACTTCCTTCTTAACTCCTCCAAAATATACAGCTCTTCCCAAGATTAGCTTGCAATCCTGAAGTTTCAGAGAAAACCCTGAAACATTTATAGAGGGCAGTAATAGAAGATAGGTTTCCTTTGGCAAACAACAGTAAATCATCTGCAAAACTTAGGTGTGTAATACCTAGTTTTGCACATTTTGGATGGAATTGATACATCTTGTCCTCTTTCAATTCATTAAGCAGTCTACTTAGATACTTCATAGCTATTGCAAATAGAAAAGGAGATATTGGATCTCCTTGTCTAAGTCCTCTAGCTGCATTGAAGGGCTTGCTTTGTTCACCATTGATCACCACAGTATAGTTTACAGTTTGAACACACTCCATTATCCAAAACACAAACTGGTCAGGGAAACCAAGCTCATTTAGCATCTGTCTCACAAAAGGCCATTCAACATAATCATATGCTTTTTGTAAATCAATTTTTATCATGCACCTAGGTGATATATTCTTCCTTGTATAATCTTTTACTAGCTCATGGGAAAGAAAGATGTTGTTAGCTATTTTCCTCCCTGGAATAAATCCAGCCTGGGATTCACATATGATGTCTGCAACCACTTCTTGCAATCTGGAGGCAAGTATTTTGGCAATTATTTTGTATAACACGGTACAGCATGCAATAGGGCTATACTCATTCACAGTGTTTGGCTTGGCAGTTTTTGGAACTAGTATGATAGGAGTACAACTAATTGCCCTATAAAGTCTCCCAGTTTTGAAGAAATCCTTAACAAAATCAACAACTTCTGCCTTCACAAGAGGCCATACTTTTTTGAAGAAATAAGCATTGTATCCATCGACTCCAGGAGACTTATCATTCCCTATTGAATATAGTCCATCATAGATCTCCTTTTTTGTTACTTCTGCACATAACCTAATCCTTTGTTGCTGAGTAATGACTGGACCTTTTCTCATAGTTTGCTTGTTAACTGCTGGCAAGATATGAGCTGCAGATCCCATCAAGCTTTTGTAGAACTTAATTATCTCTTCTCTGATCTCCTCTGGATCCATAAGTTTTCTATTAGTAAGAGATGTAAGTATTGCAATCTACTTCCTTTGAGTCCTCTCTTTAATCAATGCTGAGAAATACTTGTTGTTTGAGTCTCCAAATTTGATCCAACTAGCTTTAGCTTTCTGCTGTAAGGCACTTTCTTCCACCAATGACCATTTCTCCAGCTCTTGTATCAGTTTTCTTTCTTCTGCAAGTAGGTCTGTGTTATTCCTCAACTGAATTTGTTCCTGAGTGCTCTTTAGATCCTGTCTTGCCTTCTCTATTCTCTGCTTGATGAACTTAAACTCTTCATTATTCAATTTCCTCAAGACTGGTCTAAGGTTTTTCAACTTCATCCATATGTTTTCCATATTGCTTGTGGATGATGTTTTCTGCCATATTTCTTCTACAATCTTCATGAAGTCTTTATGCTCAGCCCATATATTGAAAAACTTGAAAGAAACTTTTATGTTATAGTTTGCAGACACCATTGTTAGTAACATAGGTGCATGGTCGGAAATGAAAGGATCATCATATTGCATTACCACATGTCCCCAAGTCATCATCCATTCATGGTTTCCAAAAGCCCTATCCAATCTGCTATTTATTCTATCTGTATTCAAATGTTTATTGGACCATGTATAGTAGTCTCCACTCCACTGAGCTTCTGTTAGTAAAAGTTCATGCATGCACTCAAAGTAATCTTTGATTTCCTTATAAGTGATTGGATTGCCAAATCGTCTATCATCTTGATACAGTACTGCATTGAAATCCCCAGCAACAAGCCATGGTTTGTTAATGCCCACAACCACTTCTTTCAGATGCTCCCATAATGATCTTCTGTGTTCTACAATATTGAAGCCATATACAATAGTAAGAAAGCAATTAATGCCTCCTATCCTGCTTGTGACTTCACAATGTAGAAGCTTACGTCGCAAATGCGACCTTGACAGGCACCAAAATTGCGAACATTGTTTGCATTTGCGAAGAAAGAAGACATAGGCCATCATTCGCAATTGCAAAGCTTTGACCGCAATTGCGAGTTCGCATTTGCGAACCAGGCTTCACAATTGCGATATCTGCGCCTGTATAAATCATGACTTAGCCGAAAACCTTTCATTTTTCAAACCCTTTCAAAACCTAAACACTTTTGGGCGATTTTTGAAAGACAAGTACTCTTCCAAATCGATTGTAAGTCATTTCTAACTCGTTTTTATTAATATTTAACATCTTTTCTCATGATTTCAACTCAAAATCAAAGGTTTTCATGGGAGAAATAGGGTGTTTTGGGTAGAACTTAGGTTTTTCAAATTTTGGGGATTTGGACCTTGATTTGAGGTCCGATTTCAAAACAAATTATATATATCAGTTCGTGGGTGAATGGGTAAACGGGTTTTGGTTCGAACTTCGGGTTTTGACCATGTGGGCCCGGGGTCGATTTTTGACTTTTTGGGAAAAACTTTAGAAAACCTATTTTCATGCATTAGAATTGATTCATTTAGCATTTATTGATATATTTAAGTAACTTGTGGCTAGATACAAATGAATTGGTTGTGGAATCACGAGGTAAAGCGGTAATAGAGGCTTGAATTGTGTTCGTGGCATCGAGGTAAGTGTTTGGTCTAACCTTAGCTTGAGGGATTAAGAGTCGTGTCTTACTTGCTATGTGTTAATTGTTGAGTACGACGTATAGGCATAGTGATGAGTATCTATACGTTGGTATCAAGCATGCCCGTGAGTTTTATACTATGATTAATGTGACTCCGTTTTGTATTATTCATGCCTTATGTGATGATTTCCATTGTTGAATGAGGCTTGTGGAAGTAAAATTGTTGATTGAACATTGAAGAGCGTTGGCTCAAGTTGTAAAATGATTTGTGGAAGTAATATTGGTGATTGAACATTGAAGAGCGTTGGCTCAAGTTGTAAAATGATTTGTGGAAGTAATATTGGTAATTGAACATTGAAGAGCGTTGGCTCAAGTTGTAAAATGATTTGTGGAAGTAATATTGGTAATTGAAGATTGAAGAGCGTTGGTTCAAGTTGTAAAATGATTTGTGGAAGTATTATTGGCAATTGAACATTATAGAGCATTGGCTCAAGTTATGAATTGAGTTGTGAAGTAATTGTGAAAAAGAGAAGAGGATTATGATATTGTCTCCCTTGCCAGGATGTTATTGCTTTTAATGTTATCTTCCTTGCCAGGATATTATTGCTTTTAAAGGTTTTCTCCCTTGCCGGGATGTTGTTGCTTTTGATATTTTTTCCCTTGCCGGGATATAATTATTGTACTATTGTTCCCTTGCCGGGATTTTATTTATTTCCTTGCCCTTATTGTTTGTGATTGTTGTTTGGGTAAGGAAGAGTGTTAAAGCATGAAGGGTGATGTCGTGCATTGTATTGGTGAGAGAGTGTTAAAGCACGAAGGGTGATGTCGTGCATGATATTTTTGAGAGAGTGTTAATGCACGAAGGGTGATGCTGTGCCGTACGATGTACCATTCTGTGCCTTTATATGAGTGATAATGCACGAAGGATCATTATGTGCCATGATTATGTGAGGTAAAAGCACGAAGGGTGATGTCGTGCCGATTATATTGATTCTTATGGTGAGGACGAGAGTAAAAGCTCTAAGGGTGATGCCGTTCACTTGTCCTTGATTTTCCCAATCTTGTTGATAATTGAGTTATGGTGTTCTTTACGTTTATTCCCTGATTTTCTGTTGTTACTTGATTTTATTGTGATGTCATTGATTCCCTTGCCCAAATTGCTTGTGATTGTTGCTTGGGTGAGGAAGAGTGTAAAGCACGAAGGGTGATGCCGTGCACGATATTTTTGAGAGAGTGTTAAAGTACGAAAGGTGATGCCGTGTATGTTACTTGTGAGAGAGTGTTAAAGCACGAAGTGTGATGCCGTGTACTTGTCTTTGATTTCCTGATTTTTAATGATAACTGAGTTATGGTTTCTCTACATTTAACTATTGGTTTTCTTTTGATACTTGTTGTTCCTCGCAGCATGATTTCCCATTCCTATTTTTAATTATAAACTTTGCCTTTATTTTCTGCGGTATATGATTTAACTGCACATGTTTATTTGGTAGTCTAGTCCTAGCCTCGTCACTACTTTGCCGAGGTTAGGCTAGGCACTTACCAACGCATGGGGTCGGTTGTGCTGATACTACACTCTGATCTCTTTTGTGCAGATCCCGGTACTGGAGCATACAGACCTTAGCTTTGGGTCGCTGCCTTCAGTCCATTCGGAGACCCGAGGTAATCCTGCAGGCGTCCGCATGCCTTGGCGTCTCCTTCTATCCCTTCATTCTGTTTCTTTTATGTACATCAGAGAGAGCGTTGTATTTATCTTTCGGACCCTTATTTGTAGTATTCTTAGACAGTCTGTGAAATTGTGACACCAATTCTGGGTAGTCTATGTTTAAGGAATTGTATTGGTAATATTTTAATGGTTATAATTTGTTCTTCCGCTTATTTAATTCCATTGATTATATAATGTTGATCCATGACTGTTAGAGGATTAAAAATGAGAAAAAGGTAAATAATTCAATTGATTGACTTGCCTAGCTTTCACTAGTAGGCGCCATCACGACTCCCGAGTGTGGGAAATACGGGTCGTGACAAGTTGGTATCAGAGCTCTAGGTTACTTGGGTCTCACAATTCACGGACAAGCTTAGTAGAGTATGAGGGATCGGTACGGAGACGTCTGTATTTATCCCCAGAGGCTATAGAGTTAGGAAAAACTTCACATCCATTCTTTCCTGTCGTGCGGCTTGAATTCTCAATACTAGTTGAACTTGCACTCTTGTTCCTTCGCGAATGGCGAGGTCACGTACCACTTCTTCAGCCACAGACCGGTGTTAGATCAGCTACGTCTTCGGAGGCTTTGTGGAGGTTGGATAGGTTTCACCAAGCTCTTCACTACTACTTTTGGTGGTACATTTTCTGAGGATCCCCAGGATTATTTGGACAGCTGTCATGAGGTTCTTCGGAACATGGGGACAGTGGAGACCAATGGAGTCGACTTTGCTGCTTTTCGTTTGTGTGGATACGCCAAGACTCGGTGGGGAGATTATTGTTTGTCCAGACCAGCTGGGTCACCAGCTTTGACTTGGGATCAGTTTTCTCAGCTATTCCTGGAGAAGTTTCTTCCTATCATTCAGAGGGAAAACTACCGGAGGCAGTTTGAGCATCTCTAGAAGGGTTCCATGACTATTACTCAGTACGAGACCAGGTTTATTGATTTGGCCTGTCATGCTCTTCTTATACTTCCCTCTGAGAGAGAGAGAGAGAGAGGAGGTTCATTGGGGACTCGTCAACCCGCTCAGCCAGCTAGAGGTGGAGGTAGAGGTATTAGATGTGGAGGTCAGGCCGCTAGAGGTGGAGGTAGAGGTATTAGAGGTGGAGGTCAGGCCGCTAAAGGTAGAGGCCAGCCAGCAGCAGGCTATCCCAGAGATGTAGTTCAGAGTGGTGGGGCCCAGCCCCGATGTTATGCTCTTCCAGCCAGGCCTGAGGCTGAGGCTTCCGATGCAGTTATCACAGGTACTATTCTGGTTTGTAGTAGAGATGCTTCAGTTCTATTTGATCCTGGATCTATATACTCCTATGTGTCATCTTATTTTGCATCGTATCTGGCCATGCCTAGTGATTCTTTGAGTGCTCCTGTATATGTGTCTACACCGGTGGGTAATTCTATTATGGTAGATCGTGTCCATCGTTCCTGTATAGTTGTGATTGGGGGTCTTGAGACTCGAGTAGATTTGTTACTTTCGGATATGGTTGATTTTGATGTCATATTGGGGATGGACTAGTTATCACCTTACCACGCTATCTTGGATTGTCATGCCAAGACTGTGACCTTAGCCTTGCCAGGGTTGCCTCGTTTAGAGTGGAGAGGGACTCCTGGTCATTCTACCCGTCGTGTTATCTCATATATGAAGGCTCGGCGTATGGTCGAGAAGGGGTGTTTGGCCTATTTGGCATATGTTCATGATTCTAGTGCTGAGGTT